AAAAGCTGTCATACACGATTTTCTAAGCAGTAAAAAAAAAAACAGGCGTATACATTCAGGAATTAAATGCATAATTTAAAAATGAAAACAAAAATAAAATGTTCATGATGAAATTAAATAAATACTGGCACTGGAGGTGCTAAATGTCCCATAAGAGTGCAGTAATATGCAATGTCTTCATAAATACCATAAATTATGTGCACACACAGCAGCTTCTTATCATATAAGTTACATATTAATCCAGTTTGTGTCTTTTGACTGTTTCTTTCAACACGCTGGCTAATGCTTCGCATCTCCTCATTCATCACCAACAGCATTAATAGTGTTATAACAAGCAGGAGCTACGGAGCAGGGTAAATTGCAATGGCTAATTAACACTTCATTAGCCAAGCTTGGAGATGTTTCTGTTGTTCTCTCACACGCTGCTATCGCAATACAATTACCGCTTCATGCAACTCATCACCTAATGAGCTTCTCAGCTGATCCGAGCTGCGCGTATCATCTTTCCTGCAGAGCATATGGCTTAAGGAGGTTAGTTTAACCTTACTGGTCTGTAGGCTATACTTACATACTGTATACTATCTAATAATATGATACAGGGCATTCACTATTTATGGTGCATCCATGCTTAAGAGTTTGGCTTTTTTTTGCTTGAACCAGTGCAAGAAGATGAAGTCTGCCTGTGTAAGTTTTGCTTCATTATTTCCTAATATGTCACACGTGTTTCTAGATTGATGATTAATAGCGTTGGTTGTGGTAATGGCATTGCAAAGTGGCATTTTTGTAGTTATCCTCCAAGCGGTGCGTCTGTATCTGTAGTTATCCGTGCTTCTCAGATGGCGGTGGCGAACAGAAAGATCTGGATGAGCGGCATGACCTTCAGAGTGGAAAGGTCAGCGAGGACGGCCTGCAAGTGTGTGTGTCAAACAAAACACAAATAAGATTTTGTCATCTAAATCCACACCCCTCCTGACCAAAGCAGTCTTGCCATGGCCCACCTAGCCCAGGAGAAGGGCTATAAAGCACACACCCTCCCCCCTTCTCAAGAGACATATTTCAAGATTTAAAAAAAGAACCACACAGAACGACGGGCATAATGATGATGCAGGATCCTTGGGAAGCGACAATCCTCGCTTAAGAGTACACCCGCTCCCCGCTCTGTCCTTTTGGGATGGGTGGGAGATTAAATTTAGGGCCCCTATCGTGTTCAGAGAGAGGGTATAATATTTCAACGCTGGGCCTGAGGTTCTAAATATAAGATAAGGAGCAGTATGTTATGATATCTCCTCTCTTTGCCGGGGCAGGTGGTAAATGAGCAAGCAAATAGTGCCGGCTAGCATCTTAGCGCAGGAGATCAGCTTGTCGCCCCTATGCGTCATATTGTAGTTTAACCCCCTCACCCTTAGGGGAAGTGAGGCGAGTCATCGTATGCTTTATACTTGGTTTCAGTCATGTGATAGTGGTATCACAGTATGGGTATATGGGTTATGCATGCACAAGAATTATATTACTGTAATAATGCAACATGAGTGACGATGTTGTACCTTCCCTTCTGTACTCTCTCTTTTTGCACTACATTGTCGTACGCTGCTGTGTCAATTTTGAATTTCTCCTTAGGGGGATCAATAAAGGTCCATCCTATCTTATCTTATCTTGTGATGCAGAAGCTCGTAGCGGACACGCTCATTTAGCTGTCAGTTGTGTGTTGCAGAAAGATGGCATCTGTTATGTCTTGTCCAACAGTGCATAGGCTTTGTGAAAATGCAAGTTTGTTCCTGTGAGTGTTGGCGGGCTGGTACACAGGGCGTGGTAAGAGGGTGATGGTTCTTAAGTGTCCAGCCAGCCATTTTTTCAGACATGTGCATGCAGAAGACTGGGTTACTGGTACTGGCTGGTCACCAACGGCTATTTACAGCCTTCCAGGAGTATGTGGGGTGGGGGGGCGGCAGGGAGAGGACAGGAATCAGGGCTTCAGACACACACACACGCACAAGTCTTATGTGAGAAAGACCTACCTCAGCTGAGGCCAGTGACGTCACTTCCATCAGGTTCTCTGCGCGGAAGGCAAACACAGCTGCTGCTAAGACTGGAGGAGGAGGAGGAGGAGGAGGAGGAGCAACAGACATGGGGAAGTAATAGGAGAAAAGTAGAGGGTGGCATGTGGGGAAAGAAGAGGGGAAAACCAAAGGGGAGGAGGTTAAGATAGTGTCCGTACAAATATCAAGGCTGTTACTGCAGAGTTTGCAGTCTGCGGCGGCTCTTACCTGCGACCACCTCCAGTGAGTCGTATCCCAGTATTCGGTCCCAGAGGAGAAGCAGCTGGTCAGTAGACAGATAGCCAGAAAAGCCCCGCACCATCCACTTAAAGGCGATACGCAACCTGGAGACAAAAACATCTATTTGGGTAGTCGAAGCATAAAACAGGGCTACCAGCTACCAAAACGGATTCTCCTGAGAACTAATCAGGGGAATTCAGATTAAACACACACTTCTTTATTTTGTCCCCATTCTCATTTTTTAAATATTATATACAGGTGGCGTATTTCTATGTAGGAGCAACTGCATCTGGTGCTACAGTGATCAAAAGGGCTTTTTTAGTCTCCATGAATAAGTTTAGTTTTTGTGACTAGGAAATTGTGATTCCGGTAATTCACCACAAGATGGCAGTAGGTCATTACAATTTAGTTTGAAAACTGTCGATAGAAACAGACTCAAAAGCTTTGCCAACAGCGAGGACCAAGATGAATATATGATTTCCATGGACTTGACAGGGTTGAAATGCTGTAACAAATACAACTGTCCTCGTGAAGGAAGTCTCTTAGATTTATCACGACAGACAGGCAGATGTGCAGGAAGAACAAGTTGTTCAGGACAGCAGGATTCCATGGAAATGAAAATTGTTCACAGAAACATTTCCCAACACATAAGGACATTGTTTAGTTTCACTGATACTCTGTGGACTGAATCAATCTGTTTTTTTGTAGTAAAACTTCCCTGTACAGGTTTGTGTTTGTGTGTAACGGCATGTTCTAAAAGTTCAGTTAAAAGAATACAACAGCAACACGTCCACTATTCACAGTCACATTATCATTCCTTTCTCTGTTGGTTCTCAGTCCCTTTTATCGTTGTTAAATGAAGTAGTTAAATAGTTAATGTCTGTGGATGAATGGCCATTTTAAGCCTGTCATTCAATAGTGTTGGAGCCACACCTTACTGGTTGAGCTAGAACAGGATGACAAAGACAGGAGGATGAAGCAGTGTGTACTCACGGCTGTGCCCCAATCTGTCGTAAGTGGTAGAAGAGCTGAGGCAGGTGGGTCTGCAGCAGCCGCTCAAACTGCAGGCACAAAGACACTATACCCTGCGGGAGGCGCGAGTGCATGAAGGTGGATGTGCAGACGTAAACACACAAACAGTATATTTTTTCACATCTTGACGAACGTACGGACGTCAGTGAGCTTACCGAGGGAGAGGAGGAGATAGAGTGTAATCTGAAGAAGTAGCGGATGTACATTTCCCTGAATACACTGTACAGCTTGGATGGCTCGTTGTACAAGAAACACAAAGGTGCCACTGTGGGATAAAACACACACATCCACACCACACACACACACACACACACACACACACACACACACTCACTGTTATATCTTGCTCTTGGGTGTTCCTCCTGCAAGCTTAGCGTGAGAAATAATAAAATATACTCACCATACATTGAAAACCCGTGAAATGGGATTACACCTGTCCAAATGACATTTCTCAGTCAGTGCAGTTAATACACATAAACACTTATTGTATTATAAATGTAGATAATCAACATATATATATATATACATATATACATACATATTTTAGTTTTCAGACAAAACTTTCACAGATAACCAATTCACTGTATGTAATATGGTATCATTTTTATTCAGTCAACATGCAGGCTCACCGTTGGGAGGATAAACAACAGCACACTCCTCATCTTCTCCCTTTCCTGTCACACAGAAACACAGACGTCAGTAACCAAGACCTACAGCACGGTGTGTTTGTGTGTGCGTGTCTGTGTGTGTCCGTGTCCCAATTACTCCTGTCACGTACGTGCGCAGGTATCTCAGCAGAGACATTGTGTAAGGTCATCTGAGTGAAGTGGCACTCATGTCAGTTCATGTGGACGTGTGTTTGTGTTTGTGTGTGTGTGTGTGTGTGTGTGTGTCCTTGGTGAACTGCACATTGTCTCACCCTGGATGTAGGATCTGGGAGGAGAGGCACTGTTGTATTTGAAGTGTTCCAAGACAGCGGTGTCTCGAGAGAAACACAGCAACACCTGGGAACAACACAGGTTTGGTATTTAACATGCTCACACACACATTTTTATGAATAAACTAAAGAATAAGTAACATACATTGGATTTAGTTTGCAGATGGTGTAATATTCTAATATTATCCTTGCCTGACGACAGGGGATAAGGGAGACCTTGACCTTGAGCGGCCTTGCTTCCTCTTGAGTAAAAATTCTATTAAAGCGAGCACACCTGGAGCCAGTGCTTTAGGGTGTACTGGAGCAGATAGTAACAGAGCCTCGAGTGGCTGCTCGCTTCACAAAATGACCGTAGAAGTGGGAGCTCTTTCCATTACAGTCCCATTTCTGTGTCTTTCTAAAAAGCGATTTCATTTCCCAGCCACTTTAGATAAATTACATCGGGGGGGTAATTTGTCAGGGCAAAAATGAGGCCGGCAACCATTCGTACAAGACTACAGAAAATGACAGCACATGAGGACAATAGCCTGTGTCTAGACTGCCTTCGAATGACCTTGTCATACAGGGGGCATATAGGAGTGCATCTGCTGGATTAGGGAGGGGAATAGAGAACCATTTCTAGTCGAGAACCGGTTCCAGATTGTCCAATCCATCAGAATAGTATGCCTCCGAGATCATCAATTGATTTAATTAATGCCAGCGTGTTTTTCTGATGGTGGCCCCATGTGCATTACAAAACAATAAAATCAGACTCATGCCGCTCATACCCACACATTGATAGTGTAGCCGAAGCATGACTTCATTCAGTACTAGTTGCAATGTCTGTATAATGATCATTTCAAGGAAGGGTGGAAACATTGGCAATATGCTGAAACATCTTTCAATGCAACGTAGGCTAAAATTCCAGGAAGGCCATATATTTGACACTCACAAGTGCCTCTGCTTCCCAAATATAGTATGTGTTGTAAGTAAGTGTTGTAAGTAAGTGTCACATGAGCAGGTCTTTTCATTAACTAGGAAAATCTAAATGAAAACGAATGCCGTCCAAATATGATTTCATTTCTGGGTACAGAAAAACAGGGTGGTCTACCGTCGTATTGAAGTGTTTTGCTCTGGTTGTGATTGGTATTTATGTATACTGGGAGGTATTAGGACGGAGTTTAATAAATGTTGAATGAATGATTAAAGTGGCTTGTATATGTATATGCTCAGTATATGTTTTATCTCCTTAATTTAGGTTAAAAGACCAGAAAGGCATTTTATTTAGTATAAACTCAGTCTAATCCGATGGGGACATTTTAATAAACCATAAATAAACACATTGTAAACAGTGACAATGCGAATTCTCTTCTACCATTTCTGGGGAATTGCACGTCTTAAATGTTCTTAAGAACTTCCCATACTTTCCCCTAACTCAACTTCTCCAGATTGTAACAACACCTGTGTAAATCCACGATCACCCTACAATGAGTAGATTCTTTCACTGCCTAGTGAGTTTACCATCAGCCAATATTGACAGTGATACTGGAGCTTTGTTCTTGCTACACTTGTGTACCCATTGGTTAGCCACCAAGGAGCATGACATGTTAACAGCTGCTGAATAAACCGGTTGCCGAGTATATATGCACGTTTATCAGAGGAGCACCAAAGGCAAACAGAGCAGTGACTACCAGAGGCTAATAAATAAAGAGGAATGCTGTCATACAGTAACTGTCCTTACAGTGAACTGACACATGTTTTAATGTTTGGGGCAGCCAGAATAAATAATTCTCTTCATTTTGAACAGCAGGAATTGTATTGAGGTGATAAAAAGCTATTACCCATATAAAAAACTCACCTGGGAAAAGTTGATACATATTTCAGAGTATCAATTAAAATGAAGCGATATTTTAATCAAAATGTGATGACAGGTTTGGGGTGGTTTACTTAAACTGCCAAAGTCAAGTCTGAAAGGCCCACTGTGTAACATTTAGGGGGATCTATTGGCAGAAATGGAATATAATATTCATAACTATGTTTTAATTTGTTTTCAATCCTCTGAAAATAGGAGAAAAACCTGATATTGGAAACCAAGTTTTCAGGGGCTTTAACCAAGAGTACTGGTCTAAGCTGAACTGTGAGAGAGTAGACTCTACCTGATAGAGGAAATCTTCAAACACAAAGTAGTAGTCGTCATTACTGGCGGTGAGCTTCACATCCTGGTGGGCAAGGCATTTGGAATTACATTTTTTAACTCACATAACAACAGGAAAACAGTAAATGTTGCAGCTTTTAAATAATTATTCGTATAAGAAAAGAAAAAGATTTTGAAAACAGAAGTATTATAACTACTATGTGTATATACAGAGATTGTGTGAACCATATTATCAGAAAATATTCTCCTAAAACAACACTGATATCAAAGTTTATGTTACGCAAGACAAATGTTTTGGTGATGGTGTTCTTCAGTTGACCAGAAAACCAAAGTCAGCAATAGTTGTTATTAATTTACTGTAACATCTTGGCTATGTAGCTTCATATTTGTGAACAGTGAGTGTAGAGGAGTGTACCTTATAGATAAGGTTGTCCACCAGCAGGTCATGTTGTATGACTCCGGCCGTTAGCTGTTCATAATGCATCACGTCCTGAAAGGGCAGAGATCCAACATGTTTTACCTCTGCAATAACTTCAAAATCATATCCAGAACCCAGTCTGTGTGGTATTGTTGACAAAATGTTTGCTTAAGTTGCTGTTAATCCTATAATGCAAGTTCCAGTTCCCCCTCTTTACGGATGCTGCTAAATCGACTTCATGCATTCTGACGGCGATGACAGGAGTATTAAACCAAGCTTAATGGATGGGTATCGTGTTTCCGACCACATGGTTAAACTCCAACGTGTCTCCGGTTTGAGACGGGTTATCACAAATGAACAAAAGAACAGGCAACAGAGTGGATGGAGCGATAAAAATGTCCTCTATGACAGTTGTGAAGTGCCCTGGCAGTGATCAGCGCTGCGGATGTGAGGAGAACAGAAACAGAGATGGTCATTTTGACAGCTGAGGTAGAACACTGAAACCACTGTGGTCGTATGGACAGCATCAGTGGAAGAGAGTTAGAATAAGTTCTGCTTAAAATTGATCTTGGAAGTTAGGGTCATTGCAGTAGACTATTGCTGCATCTGTTATGAATAAAATCGACCTACAATGAGGCATGATGGCAGACAAATATGACACCGGCCTCACTCAGATTCTAATTATTTCTTGTCTAATTAACACTTGTGTTGGATGAACAGACAAAGAACCTCACGTTAGGTTTTTTTGGTGTTTGTAAAGCTTGATAAAAAAAAAAAAACAGACAATGCACATACCGTCCTGAGCCAACTCTGACTGTTTAATGTGTTTGCCCTTGTGCTGTCCAGAGCCACGCTAACACTCTCCAGACCTCAGTCAGGTCCCTGTAACTCTCCCTCAGAAATCAATCTTCCCATCACAAGCATTGTTTTATCGACTTGGCCTGAAGAGGAGGCTCTGGACTCCAGCGTTTACACAGCACTTTGCCACACAGGCAGGCAGCTGCTCTGTTTGGGCTAACTGTGCTAAATCGCCAGCATTTGATTATCTTAGCATCTGTACACATGGGACAAGCCACAGTGAGCTAAGATAAACAGGGCAGGGGATAATGCGCAGATTATGTACAAGTTGTAGGTCAGTTGGTGTCCCGTATGTTGGTTTATTACTGTAGGTTGTAAATCCCCAGATAAAAAAATGAACAGTGCAATAGAATTCCCTGCTGGAACAAACAAACAAGAGGGCCGAAGACGACCCAACCATAAATTGTGAAATTTCTGCAGTTGGAAATTGCAGTAATTGTAAACATGCAGTCTGGGAATCACTGCAGCTGTGTGTGCACGGCTGCTTTATAACAAACACTGACAGCCGGCCCCAGGGTGCACCTCAGCTGTGTGTTTGTGTGTGTGTATATGAATGCGGTACCTGTGGCTGGTTCGTAGAGTTAAGGATGAGGGCCCACAGGTCCGCCCGTAGCCCAGTGGGACAGCCCTGCCTGCTGTACTGCTGCGCTGCCGCACTGTCCTGCTCCACGACCACTAGACATAAAAAAAAAAAGAAGAAAGTTGGATGCAAAAGAGAACAATAGAAGGCGGGTGCAGGAGACAGAAAGATCAATTACGAATATGGAGCTGGAGCCAGGATTAGCTTAGCTTAGCATAACGACTGGAATCAGGGGGAAACAGCTAGCCTGGCTCTGTCCGGTAAAAAAAAAAAAAAATCTACCAGATTATTTATTGGCCGGGAGCAGTTATTTTGTGGAGTTTCTGTTGCCTGGCAACCTCGCGATGGCAAAAAGACTCCACGAAGTAATGCCAAGAAATACTTCAGCACAAACCTCGCCTCGTAAAACCACCACTTGTGCAAACAAACAGGACATAACATATTAACTTATGACTTTTAGAGCTGCTGGTAGGTGGATTTTGTTACCTTTGGACAGAGCCAGGAAAGTTGTTTCTAGTCTGTATGCTAAGCTCGGCTAACCGTCTTCTGGCTGCAACTTGATATTTAACTAAAACACATGAAAGTAACAATCTTCCCATTCTGAACTATTCCTCTTCGTCATTTATCAAGCACAAATGCTAAAAACTCAGCATCTCACACCTGACGATTTGCTGGTTTTCTCAATGTTGCATACAAGCCAAAAAGTCTTTCAAATTAAATATTTTTGAAAGAAGAAATGACAAATTCTTCCTCTTATGCGTATAAATTGATAAGCAATAAAACACATAATTGTTCAATTCAATACACTTAGGGGTTCTGCCACTACAGTCTTGCTTACAGCGGCTAATGTTGGCAAAAGATAACTAGATTTTGCCGCGTAACTGATTTTACGACTCTTCTCTACTTGTACTACTCTTACAGTATATTTTTAACATTTTGCATGATCCCATAATTGTCACTTGTGGCCACCGTCTAGCAAAAGTAACATGGTCTCAATTTTAAAGCTAAAAATGAAAGACTGAATCTTGAAGGTTGACTTGCCAAACAAGAATGCATCTGGCCAACAAGAATCAATAGAAAGCCTCCTGATTTGCTGGCAGAATGACATAATGTCTACAAACAGTAAAGTCATCCAAAATGTTACTGAACCGACTGAATCAGCTGGGAAAATCAACACCTGCCTGTCTTGAATGGCTGCACGACAACAAGCAGGCAGTTCAACTCTCTAAAAGTGTTAAGAGGTTTGTTTTTTCCAAGAAAATTTGGAAAGCATTACTGCCATTAGGACAATAACAAAACATATATTTCAATGGGGACTATAAAACCACCACAAATACGTCAATTAAAAATCATAACACTAAAAGAGTGGGCAGGCTGCAGCATAGCGTCGATTCGTGGCTTCGCTCAAACGTACACACAGGTTCGCAATTTCATTCTATCTCTGAAAATGTATAAACAATAAAAAAAAAATGATAACAAAGACATTCCCATAACGGTGATTAGTTATTACATAACTTTCGTAAAAACACTCAGGCACATGCTGGAAACACATTCTATCCTAAATCTCTGTTGTGACAGTAGCCAAAAACACACAGCCCTTGACTTAAGGTGCCGGCCAGTCATAACATAAACGAACACACTCCTCGGCTCTTAAATTTCCTATTTGAGTGCTCTTAACACTTGGTCTGGAATACGGCTCGCAGCTCGGCAGCCAGCACACAGCCAACCGAGGGTAAAATAGTGGACCAGGGCCTCGTGTATATAAAATACAGCTTGTGTTTTTAAGCTTCTTGTCGATTGATGTCTGATTGGTGTCCATAATAAGGTTGCCGTTTACACTGGGTTCATAGCAGAGCAATGAGAAAAGAGTTCAAGTGTCTCTCATGCCAGTTAAGGCACCTGACAGGGTAAAGAGAAGGATCCACAGGCGCTGACGTTGGGGATTTTCTGTACATATGTGGTGGTCAGTAAGTCAAATATATTTCTTAATACAATGATTTCATGCATATATATACACTCCATATACAATATCAACTTTTGATTACTTTTTCACGCCACCTCCGCAAGCTGGTCTAAACATACAAATAAACAAATCATACATATTTTAGTAAAGAAAGAAAGTCACGAATATTACAGGTAACGTTAGAAGTTACCTGTAATAGAAGTTCATCTATTCACACACATTAAAATGGCATATCACGATTGTTCATGTCTGTCTCTCCACATATCAAGATGTGGTATCTTACATCAAAGATATCACCACGTGATGCAGCAGCAGCTCTAATATTTCCCCTTTAGTATTGTTTACAGATGTAATTGATAATTCAGTGACTAATCCATTATGAAGGGAGGACAATAATGGATGGAGGAAAGGTAGTACCCGTCTTTGGTGGCAGTTAATCCGGCAAAGCAAATCCTTTTTTGATGGTTTAATAAATTAAGTGAAGAATCATCATTCAGCAATACAATGTTTGGAAGACAATTTTAGATAATATGTTGATCACTTGGCTCCAAAAACACGAGTACATATGTATCAATGGGATCTTTTTTACTTTTTATAGCAGTGCCTAAAGTATTCCTCTTTCAGGTTGTATTCTCTTTTTTTAAAAACAGATAGTTATAATTCGATTTTTTTGATACTCCAGGAAAAAGAGTTTAATGAAAAAATAAAACCCCTCTAATGTTCTAAATTAAATACAATATAAAACACTAAACAGAAGATAAACAGACAAGGTTCCTCTACTTAATATCAAGTTCAAGGGAGTAAATACTGACTCAATCAGTATTAATAATGATGACTAATGAATAATGAATGAGTAATGAGACTCCTACGAGCCTCTGGTTGCTGCTTTTTGTTCTAAGTTGCTTGGACCTTACTTGATTTACATCTATTTGTAGAGAAATGAACCACAATGATGCATTTAAATACCTCAATTAAAGAGTTAGAATGACAGAAAAACCATTTACAGAAAGAAAAACCACAAATACTAACCTTTTTTCCCGATTTGAACATACTCGTTTTCAAACAAATCTGTGCAGGGTTCAAAAAAAGACAGAACGAGAGAGAGACGCGTCAATAAGGGTCTGCTAGTGGCACAGTTTTTCAAACTAATGTTATCTCTTTGATTTACAAACACAGAGATGGTGGATACGATTCTATTTAAAGCCTAAACACCAGACCGTAACAATGTCAATATCTGGACTTAACAGAGATATTGTTTGAGAAAACCCAGACAGCCATGTGGCACAGGAGAGGAACACAGGCTGATATAAGGCCGGAGTGGTATACACACCATTTAACCCCAGTGTTCATTAGGTAAACACATTTGTTTCAGAGTATTACCAATTCATTACGGCTAGAATAAAAAATGTGTTTAGGTCTGTTCAAAAGCTGCTTATGTTTCTTTATTACCAATCATATATTATATGTTCTATATTTAATAGTCCATGAGTCAATAGTAAAGAGTCATTTAAGCTGCCAAATGTCAAAACCACTATTCCAACGGGCAATGATTCAGCTATGACTCAATGCCCTGCATGCTACGTGTCATGGTGACAGGATGCAGAAACCACTGGAACAAAGGAATAGTTTAACATTTTAGGAAAGACGGCTATTGTTTTTCTTGCCAAGAGTTCTAGATCAATACCCCTATCACGTCTGTCCAAACAAAGAAGATACAACACGTTAATTAGTGAGCTTCAGAGCTGCTGCTAGGCTGTTACCTTTGGACAGAGCCAGGCTAGCTGCTTCCCCCTTAATTCCAGTCTTTATGCTAAGCTAAGCTAACCAGTTGCTGGCTCCAGCTTATTATAGCTGATTTCCCAAAATATCTAACTATTCCTTTAACTACCATGGTGCATGAGGTGCATTTGCAGTTTTGGTAAATACCTGGATGGATGTGTGCATGGTCATCAATCCCCAACTGCCCACTGGTCAGGTTCAGCTCTGAGTAAGCCCTTCTCTGAGAGTTAAAAAAAACACGTAGGCAGATTTAAAATTTCCTGTGGCAGCTGACTAGGCTGTACTGTTATATGCATTTATATTTATATGCACTTACTAGGTCACTAAGGGACAAAACACCTGCAGACAGACACACACACACGAGTAATCACAATGAACCAGACATCCAAATGGATGCCTACCAGTTGTGGGATGTCCCTGACATTGAGGGGAACCTGGATGAGACCCCAGTGGCTCTTGATGCTGACGTCCTCGCTGCTATCATGATTTGGGTTCCGCAAGCCGATTAACACCTGTGTAGAAAGCGGTAATATGGTATAATCTAATCATTTCTTTCTTACTTAAAATTCCAGATCTTTAAGTGAAATGAAATAAACGTAATACTCTAAGCTGCAAGAAATCTGCTTACCTCCAGAAAGTCTTTAGGGGCGTAGACAGGCCTAAAGCTACTTAAATCTGCAGACACAGAGACATTACTGGATCTCTAAAATACATAAGTTGATAGTACCACTTACAAGAGCACACTTTGTAAGTGGTACCTCCAGCTGCTTCATGTACACAATGTTTACACGTGCAATTTCAGAACAGTTTTAACAGCTGTAAATCCTAGACTATACAAATGAATCCAACCATAGTCCATTTAATCAACCTGAACTTGAATGTACTCCGTCTGTGACACTCGCACGGCCGGAGCTGCCCCCTCCTACAGAAGTCAAAAGAACAGCATAGGGCCGCTTTAAGTGGGACTTCCATCCACTGTGTTCGTAGCGCGGCAGTAAATTCAAGTGCTGTGTCAACCCCAGAACGAGGGCACATTAAGGTTGGGACAGAAGGAGGGGTGCTGTGCGTTATCGCAGCTCCGTCCAAGGAGTCTGGACAGCTTCTATATTCCCAGTCCAAAGTGTTTATAGCCGGGGGACGGCACATCCTAAATGTTATTATACGCCACTGAGCTGTGATAGCATTGTTAGGACACCAGGTTAACGTGTTCTTGTAAATGTACTGGCTTGAAGTGCAAAGGGTTGGTTCATTGAGAGCCAACGACTGAGCTTTTAATAGATGAGTCTTCTGAAATCAATTGCAAAGAAATATCTTCAAAAAGTATCACATACATATCAATATAATGTATGCATCCCTCTTGGAAGAAGCTCTGGAGAAGCTTAAGGGCTAATAATTAGCAATGTGGCTCTTGGCAGCTCAAGGTGTCAGTGTGTCCAAGGCCGTATTTTGGATCTTGAGGCCTGATATACCTAAGCAACTATCTGTAAAGAAAGAAAACCAGGAACTACATCTGGAAACAACACTAAATACTTTTCAGATGTTTCCGAGTCAAGCCCTGGTCCTTAAGAAAACCTTCCCTGGATAAATACCAGTTAAAAGGTAAACATGGAAGCGGTAGATCTGGTTTAGAGATGTGTTAAGCTGATGTCTGACCGATGCGCGAGCACGCAGATACATCAACACTAATCTTTCATAAAAGGCAGACTGCTCAGGGGCCAAACCCCTGGGTAATGTCTTGAGACCTGGTTCATCCGTGCCCATCTCATTCCATTTGTTGGTGAGCTCCTTCTGCTCCGCTGCGGGCCTCTGTGGAGTGGGTGTAAAGAGAGGATTTCAACAAACAAACAGCCGAAACAGAATAATCTCGACAATGTCACACTGGAAGTGATGTTCTTTGATCGTAGATTTGCATTCACTGCCTGCTTAGTCTCAGTCTACAGCTCCAGAATCATAGCTAAGTCTCTCTGAACAGGGCTGCACTAGACTCAAACTTGTGTCAAACTTAGCCATAATAATGATAAGATGCACCATGCGCAAAAATATGCTAAAACAATACCACGATATGACAAAAATGTTATGAAGGCCTTTACACAGATGTTGCCAGAGAACCTGAATTAAGAGCGGTTGTCATTATACTATGTCGGTTAGGATTGACAATATTTTAGCTACCATGCGAGCCAGAGGCATTTCATGCTCTGTACTCATGCTGTTCAGGCTTTTGAGGACGCGCTTCTCCCAGCTGGCCTGTGTAAGAGAGCACACACACACACACACACACACACACACACACAGAAACATTTGGCTTCAGACACCGTGTTACAAACACCTAGGTGATAATGAGAAGAATCAGGGGTCACTGAATTTCGGCTACCAAAACAAAAAAAAACAAAGAGTCAGAGAGGTAGATGAGGAACGAGCGAGGAGTGACGGAGATAAGAGCTGACAGACTGACCTGTGCCTTGCGCATGTAGGCCAGCGGCTCTTTGAGATGCTCTGGAGGAGCCGCGGGATGGCTCGGGGGCAGCTGGCTAGAATAAGCAAACACAAGAGCGGGGGGGAACGGGCGAGGAGCGTTACAGTATATAAGAAGAAGAAGAAGAAGAAGCAGATCAAGTACAGGAAATACATCAGAAAAAGCTGCTGTGTCTTCAACCAAAAGACTGACAGCTCTGAGGGACTGAAGCCACTATGAACACAAACAACACATTTCTCACAAAGTGCTCGAGAGAAGTAAGCCGTCAAACAAAAGGCTAATAAAACGTTGAGATTTTTCTTTTAAAAAATCACCATTAGTGTACGTGGTGCTCAGATGAGTCAGAACGCATCTAAACCAGATTCGATAATTGTCTCATGTCTTTTCCCCACTAGGCATGCTCAGGGCATATTGAATGACTCAAGGTCTCAGCGCGTTAAACAATGGTCAGCCTAATCTAAACACCTATAAGAGCACATGGGGCTGACTAATGGCCGAGGAGGCATTAGTCAACGTTATATGTCATCCTTTAAAAGCAAAGCATTAAGCGTCCCATGTTTCAGTCTGAGCCTCGAGAGAGCAGGGGCGGTATGTTACCCTCAAAGGTAAGAGCGCCGTCGAGAAACCCTTTTCAAAGCTGTTTATTGAAGTTTGAAGAGTTTTCAAGCTATTGAGCTGTTTGATTTTAATAGCGATTACTAAAGAGAACCAGAACATGAATCAGAATGATTGTGGAGTCATTTTCCACACTTGAAGTTCACCACCATGTAATAATCACTTGATAGCCTCAATTTCTGTGGAGTTTTTTGTTTTTTTTGTAAAAATAACAAAAATAAACATATGAAACAAAACAGGAATGGAAAAAAGTTTTTTTTAATGGAAAAAAGTCCCCAAATACACTTTATAAACTACTACTAATACTTTTTGTAAACAATGTAAAGGACATGCAACTAATAAAACTTTAAAATGTTTTAATGACATCTGTATATATCGCTCACAGGGCCTGATAACTCTTAATATGAGTGTGTATAAATGTGAGTTGCTTTAGACCAAACTATAATAAAAGGGCCAAGAGAGGAGAAGTGTTTAGTGTTGCTGAAGGGACATAATGATGTGTGCCGCTAAGTGGGCGACAGCATTTGTCACATCTGTGGGCAGTGAAGTGTCAAACTGATGAATCTTTACGCCACTCTTTTTTTAATAGTGCTCGACTGTACGATTCAAGCTAAAAACGCGGGTGTGTTTTTAAATCCCAAACTATTCTGAGGTGCTTAAAGGTGTTACAGACACTTGAACCCTCCAGCAGTAAACTGGGTGAAACAGTCAGTTCGGTCCATTTGCTTCATATCTAACAGAGTAGCCACTCCAATGAGGGACAATTTACACTTGACAATCTTACCCACTTAAATATATCTGGCCCATATACAGCAATAAATCACAGTCCAGAGGTCTCTTTGTTTTTGTAACTGGTTTACAAGTATTCGGTGCACAGGCCCAGGTTTTCCTTGCTGATTTCCCTCCTTATCTCTTTTTCTATTACATGCAGCTCATAAAAAGGGAGCTGAGATATGGCTGAGATATGGCTCCATAAAAGACAACCAGATCCACCTGTGGACTGTAATTCATCACTGTATTTGGGCCAACCGACAGTGGGCTACGACCAATGTCGCTATGCGGGTATGGTATCCTGAAATCTGCTGGGAAATTCCTGAGATTATTTAAAGATCTAACTGCATATTTAGACTGTCTACATTAATTAAACATTGATCGCTCCTAATATTTGAGGTGTGTGTGTGTGTGTATACAGGTCTGTTTGCTGTGTTTGTTGCTTCACTTTTTTATCTTATTTTTTCTTTATTCTGTTCTTAAGGTCAAGGTTTTTTATGGTTTTTTTTTTTTTATGTTTGTATTTTGTTTGCTACTGGATGCTTGAATTTCCCTCGGGATAAATATAAGTCATCTGTCTGTCTGTCTGTCTGTCTGTCTTCACACACACTGAATATAACTTACACATGCAGTTCTCTGTACACTGCATTTTGGAGCTTTCGTTCCCAGCCTGTAAAAAAATAAAATAAGTTATTATCACCACACAGAGAGAAGAATTAACAGTTGTTTTATTACAGTAAGCTGTGTGTGTGTGTGT